TTCTGTGTCTCATTCTCTCCCTGCCCCTCCCCCACTTGTGCTGTCTCTGTCTCTCAAAAATAAATAAATGTAAAAATAAAAAAATTAGAGGAAAAAAAAAGTGACTGGATAAAAAACAAGACCTATCTATACCAACATAAAACCAGACACATAGTTCAATGAAACAGAATAGAAGGCCCAGAAATAAACCCATGATTATATGGTCAATTAATCTTCAACAAAGGAGGCAAGAATGTACAATGGGAGTGGTGTCAAATAAAGCCTCGACAGGGCACTGGGCTGCTGTTGGTCTGAGGGGGGAAAATATATATACAATGGGAAAAAGACAGTCTCTTCTACAGACGGTGTTGGGAAAACGGGACAGCCACATGCAAAAGAATAAAACTGGACCACTTTCTTATGCCGTGTGCAAAAATAAACTCAAAATGGATTAAGAACCTAAATGTGAGACCTGAAACCATAGCATTCCTAGAAGAAGGCACAGGCAGGAATTTCTCTTAACATCAGCCATAGCAACATTTTTCTAGACATGTCTCCTAAGGCAAGGGAAACAAAAGCAAAAATAAACTATTAGGATGACATCAAAATAAAAAGCTTCTGCACAGCAAAGGGAACAGCCCACAAAACTAAAAGACAACCCGCTGAATGGGAGAAGATACTTGCAAAGGACTTATCTGATAAAGGGTTAGTGTCAAGTGTATAAAGACCTGATACAGCTCAACATCCAGAAAACAATCTAACTAAAAACTGGGCAGAAAACGTGAATATGCATTTTGCCAAAGAGGACATCCAGATGGCCAACAGACCTATGGAAAGATGCTCATCATCACTCATCATCAGGAAAATGCAAATCAAAACCGCAATGAGATGTCACCTCACACCTGTCAGAATGGCTAAAATCCAAGCACAAGAAACAACAGGTGTTGGCGAGGACGTGGAGAAAAGAGAACCCTGCGTACTGCTGGTGGGAATGCAAAGTGGTGCACCTGCTGTGAAGACAGTATGGAGGTTCCTCAAAAAATTAGAAACAGAATTACCCTATGATCCAGAAATCGCACTACTGGGTATTTACGCAAAGAATACAAAAACACTAATTCAAAGGATACATGCACCCCAGTGTTTATAGCGGCGTTCTCTACAACAGCCAAGATACCTTGGGAAGCAGCCCAAGCGTCCATTGATAGGATAAATGGATAAAGAAGATGTGGTACATATATACGAGGGAATATTATTCAGCCATGAGATGCCACGAAATCTTGCCATTTACAACAACATGGATAGAGCTAGAGAGTATTATGCCAAGTGAAATCAGGCAGTCAGAGAAAGACAATCCCATATGATTTCACTCATAGTGGAGTTTAGGGAAAAAACCAACAAAGAAAAAAAGAGAGACCAAAAACAGACTCTTTTAACTGTGGGAAGCACAGTGATGGTGGCCAGAGGGGAGGGTGAGGGCCTGGGTGACAGGATGGGTGATGGTGAAGGGATGGAGAGCACACTTTTCGTGATGAGCGCTGAGTAACGTATAGAACTTCCGAATCACTACCCTGTACGCCTGAAACTAATAGAACACTGCGTTAACGACACTGAAATTGCACGAAAACAGACGAACGGGACCTATCTATGTGCTGCCTACAAGAACGCACTTTAGACATTTGGGCGGACACACAGACCGAGAGTGAAGGGACGGAAACAGATGTTCTGTGCGAGTGGAAACGAAAAGAAAGCTGAAGTAAATAAGGGACAAAGATGGGAGAGACATAATGGTAAAGAGGTCAACCCCACAATGATGTAACATTGGTAAACACTTATGTGCCCAACATAGAAGTACCTGATCACATAAAGCAAATACTAACAGATCTAAAGGGAGAAGGAGAGAGCAATACAGTAAGAGTGGGGGATTTTAATACCCTGCTTATGTCAATGGCTAGGTCACCCAGACAGAAAATCAGTAAGGAAACATTGGCCTCAGGCGACACATTAGGCCAGATGGACCGAACAGACGTTTACAGAACATTCCATCCAAAAGCACACCTCACATCTGTCAGGATGCCACCATCAAAAAGACAAGAAACAAGTGTTGGAGAGGATGTGGAGAAAAGGAAACCCTTGTGTACTGTGAGTACGAACGAGTGCAGCTACTGTGGAAAACAGTATGGAGGGTCCTCAAAAAATTAGAAATAGAACTACCCTATGACCCAGCAATTCCACTTTTGGGTATTTATCCGAAGAAAATGAAAACACTGGGGTGCCTGAGTGGCTCAGGTGGTTGAGCGGCTGGCTTTGGCTCAGGTCATGATCTCAGGGTTCATGGGTTCGAGCCCTGCACTGGGCTCTGCACCGACAGTGCTGAACCTGCTTCGGGTCCATTCTCTCTCTCCCCACCTCTCAAAAATAAAATAAAATATTAAAAAAAAGAAAGTGAAACACTAACTCGAAAAGATATATGCACCCTATGCTCACTGCAGCATTGTTTACAGTGGCCAAGATATGGAAGCAAACTAACTGTCCACTGATGGATGAATGGATAAAGAAATTGTGCTACAAATGCTTTCACAGAGCAAGAATTCCTTTCCCTTGAAAGGTCCTTCTAGCTGGACTAAGAATCAAGTTGACATGAGAGGGCTGAATAGGCGAAAATCAAATTTAATAGCCTATATACAGGGAATCCACACAGACATGGAAATTCCAAAGGCAGTCAGGCAAAATGAGGTCCATATGTCATTGTGAACCCGGGAGAAGGGGGCAGACGTCTGAGACTTCAGAGGGAGGGAACGTACTTCATGGCAGGGTAAGAAGGGATGTTTGTTTATTAGATATTTGCCCTGCATGGCAGGGTAAGAAGGGATGTTTGTTTATTAGATATTTGCCCTGCCATACAGATGAGTCACTCAGATAAAATTTACCTCTGATAATAGCCCTCATTCTGAGAAAGACCCCCTATTTATTTATTTATTTATTTATTTATTTATTTACTATTTTTAAGTTTATTTTTATTTATTTTGAGGCAGAGAGGGCAAGCAGGGGAGGGACAGAGAGAACGGGAGAGAGAAAAATCCCAAGCAGGCTCTGTGCTGTCAGTGCAGAGCCCGATGTGGGGCTCAAACTCAAAAACCAAGAAATCATAACCCGAGGTGATATCAAGAATCAGATGCTTGGGGCGCCTGGGTGGCGCAGTCGGTTAAGCGTCCGACTTCAGCCAGGTCACGATCTCGCGGTCCGTGAGTTCGAGCCCCGCGTCGGGCTCTGGGCTGATGGCTCAGAGCCTGGAGCCTGTTTCCGATTCTGTGTCTCCCTCTCTCTCTGCCCCTCCCCCGTTCATGCTCTGTCTCTCTCTGTCCCAAAAATAAATAAACGTTGAAAAAAAAAAATTTTTTTTTTTTTTAAAAAAGAATCAGATGCTTAACCGACGGAGCCACCACGCGCCCCGGAAAGACCCTCAGTTTAGATTCTTCTGTGTGGTTGAGGAAGGGACAGAAGTTTCTCTTGAGCCCAATAGGGTCTCAAGTGCCTTCAGCTCAAAATAACCCACGTGCCAAAGTGGCACATTCTGGAGGGGAGGGGTGTGGGTGAGACCTGAACCCCTTCAATACAATGGAATGTTATTCGGCCATAAAAAGAATGACATCTTGC